CTTATGCAGGATTAATCCAGTTCAATGAATGCATCTTACAATGATTAATAAAGCATCCATGAATTGCAAAATAAAACCAGAGGAGACTTCTGGGGCTGTTCTATTTGTATCCCTTACTGAAGCTTAGGACAAGAGTGTACATTCAGAAGCAACGTGGTCAACCAATGTATTATTTTAATTGTAAGGGACTGAATACAAATACTGCTTCTTAATTGTTGGTGTTTTCCCCTTCAACTGCTATCTGTTATTGTATCACTTTACTGCTTCTATGAAGAACAAAGAAAGTCACCATCTTACCAGTCAATACGGTGACTAAGTATAGTGTTACCGGCCAGTTTCCCATAGTGACTCCATTCATCACCTGCAAGACATCACTGGAAATGAATGCAAGATCCTAACCATTAGCTAACCCAAATCTCTTTGTTGTTAGTACTTTTTGCTTCCCGGTGCTGGTACAAATTAGAATTCTTGTTCTAGCTGCACTTGTATTTAAATGGCCTTAGAAGTAAAACTAAATGTATGTGATCTGATATAGGGAAATTACTTAGGTGTTTTTTTAACAAACTTTACTTTCTCACAAATTATTGTTCCCCACCAACATCGAAAGAGCAACCAGTTGGATTTATGGAAAGTAGCATTTTCAGACTTGTGATTCTGTTCTTCAGTTCAGAAAACTGCAATTAAACATCACAATGGTACCAGAAGAAATGTTTATTAATGTCTGAGGTGAATTAGCTGCAAGTATCTTGCAAATGCCTCTAAAATTCCTTCAAATTTGATTTGCTTTCTTTTCTTTCCCATGATATAATAAATGTGTTGAAATCCCACAAACCTAGTATGGGGCAATTCCAGAGTGCTTTTTGCCTCTTTGAAGAGCTCACATTTACTGTGGTTTGAAAAATGCAAGAATTCAAAGAGAAATACACGTTGGCATTACGTAAGGCAATAACAGCAGCAGCAATTATCTGTACTTACCTGCCATAAGTAAAGCAAAAACTTGGAAAACCAGGAGCTGCTTAGTTCAAGTGATTGGTTACCTTTATTAAGCACTCTCAGGCTACGGCTACACTGTAGCCTTCTTCCGGAAAAGTTTATGCAAATGAAGTGTGGCATGGAATATCACCACAATTCATTTGCATAATTAATTAGCAGCCGCTTTTGCGCAAGAGGCTTTTGCACAAAAACAAGCAGTGTAGACATCTCCTTTTTGCGCTAAAACCTCTTGTACAAAAATGGCTCCTAATTAATTATGTAAATGAAGCATGGTGATATTCCACGCCGCATTTAATTTGCATAAGCTTTTCCAGAGGAAGGCTACAGTATAGCCGTAGTCTCAGTGTGCTCAAGAGTCTGCAAATCTACAAGTAGTTTGACCCAGAAATGTCTTATGTAATCAATACGATCTTTACAATTTACATAGGACCGTCTACAACAGATTGGTAATGGAATATGGAGCCTTTTGCTTCTAGGATGCTTGTGCAAATTTCAGCCCAGCTGATGGTTATTATTGCAGAAGTGCTTTAGGTCCCCAAACATAGGTGCTGGAACTAGGGATGCCGTGGGGATGCAATTGCATCCCATGGCATGAAGTGGTTTCATTATATACAGGATAGTGATAGAAATGTAGCCGTGTTAGTCTGGTGTAGCTGAAACAAAATACAAGACTATGTAGCACTTTAAAGACTAACAAGATGGTTTATTAGATGATGAGCTTTCGTGGGCCAGACCCACTTCCTCAGATCATTATATACAGGGTTTGCTGTTTTGTTCAGTGGCTTTCAGCATGCACACGCACACTATACAAATTGTCCAGTGCCATTAACCCCAAATAGATTGGCAATAACAACGTTCTTATCTAGTAGCAGTTTGTGGCTAATGTACATTGAGTTTGGTGTTCTCCAGTTTCTAGGAAAGAGGTAGTCACTGCTCAGAAACCCCCATCAATGCTAGTACTAATAATCAGCCATGAAAGCCAAGATTTGATGGGCATAGGGACAGAATACTCTCTTTTCCTCTGAACACCAGTAATGCAGCATATGGCAATTCCAACTATTGATTCCAAATTCGGTGGACAACTACAAGTTCACTTTCAGGGGGGTGTCAGTCCATTTCATTAGCACAAAAGTCACAGCAATAAATACAAACAAATATAATCTAAAATAAAGATACTGGAAGAATTACACTGATTGCTTTCTTGCTTTGCATCACATTTTGGTGTGTTTTATGCAATTTCTAGTGGTTTGCCATTTGCTTCAGTTTTTGTCTACATTTGTGCAAAGTAATTCCATACAGGTCTTTGTAAAAAAAACAAAACCTGTGGCTGATTAAGGATACTTCACGTTAACTGAATAAACATATACCAGACTTGCCTGGATTGTGGACATTGACTCCTTAAAAAACAACAAATTGTCTGGTAGCACCTTAAAGAGACCATCGAGCTATATCACTTGGTTCAAAGAACAAATTTTCTTTTTGCTTTTGGTGTAATGAGAGGTATTCAAATTGCATCTGTGTGTGTTTGCTATCCTATTAGATTACATATATCCCAAATACAGTGTGGCTGCATCTACACTGCAGGCTTTTTGCGGAAGAACTACTGTTCTTGCGCAAAAACTTGCAGAGTCTACACTGCACGCGCATTCTTGCTCAAGTAAATTTACAGTACAGTGTCAGAAAACAGGGCTTCTTCCGGAAGAGTTATTCCTCTCCCCACAAGGAATAAGCCCTCCTGCGCAAGAG